TAATGGTCACTAAAATGTTTTTAAGCTCAACATGTCCAGTATTAAAATTCAAAACCTTTATTTACAAATATGCTCTGTTTTTTGCGAAGTGGATCAGCCAATCCTGCTCGCGTATGCAAATTAGTCATGTGCTTTTTTCGCAGTTAATAACACGGGCAACGCAGAACAGATTGCGTGAAGACAGCAGGTCTTCACTCCTGTTTGTGGACCTTAACGGACCTCCTCTGGACTAATTCAGCCCATTTCCATTCGTCAGAAGCTGGATTAAAGCAGGACGTGCTTGCATGAAAGAGAGAGACAGACAGTCTTTGTGCATGTGTGTGTTTTCATAGACTGTCTATTCAGGCTCTTGCCCGCTCCACCAGATTCACAGAAAGCTTCATCCACCAAGCTGTCAGGAAGCTGAACCCCCCCTCAAAAAAAAAATCACTCTGGACAAACTGTCTCCTGCACTACTATTAATGCTATATTTATTTACTGTTCTTTTGCACTGTTACTGTTACAAATGCTATATCTTACATAATTGGTAATAATAATAATTTTTCTGCTGCCATTACCATCTGGCTTTTTGCACTAGCATAAGTATTGCATATTTTATATTATTGTACATTTTATATTTTATTGTGAAATTGAATGTTTAAATTTTATTATTAGGAACTGATCTTATCTGTTGTGCCTGTGCACTTTATCGGTTTCACTGTTGGTGAATGAGAAACGTCCTCTCCAGTCCGTATGTCTGGTGAATCTGAAGAATTGACATTAAAGCTGACTTTGACTTTGAAATATTGAGAAAATTTAGATCGGTATTGCGCAACAATCGGGAGATGGGTACCCCCCCAAATATTGACAGGTATTTCGCACACTGTCCAAAATCATTATCCTACCTCCATTCCTGTCATCACATAGTGGGAAAACACAAAGTTGCTTCATATCATAGTGTCAGTAATTATGCAAAAGCTGCTTAAGTGGGTATAAATACAGAACATCTCAGACATTCAGTCATCAAACTGACCAGATCAGAGCAAATCTGTGATTGAATTGTTTCAACCTGTCCAGCTCTCCTAACATGAAGACGTTCACCGTTGCCATCGCTGTGGCCCTCGTGTTCACTTTTATCTGTATCCAGGAGAATTCAGCTGTCACTGCAACTGAGGTGACGGAGGTGCTGACTGATGATGGAACACTCACTGCAGACCATGACATGCCAGAAGAATCCTGGAATGTACGTTAAGATTTTTAGTCCACTGCTTTGAAAATAATCTCAGAGTCAAAATAGGTTTATTAACAAAAAGTTATTACTCTTTTCACACACAGGCGCAGTATGACTCGGTCCAGATGCGGCGCCGTCGTTGTCGCTGCCGTTTCTGCTGTGGCTGCTGTCCAAACATGATCGGCTGTGGAACCTGCTGCAAATTCTGAGGAGTCCTGGCACCAGCCTGCAAACACTTAAACCATTACAGAGATGTATTTATTTCACAGATAAAGTAGTTCTGCTGTTTAAATTGTTATGTCATTTGAATAAAAATAATATTCTGATTTGACTTGTGAACAATTTTTCACAATAAAAGTAATTCTTACCAGCAAATGTGTGCAGTTTTTCTATATAAATCACCTACTGTAGGCCTCGTTGTTTATCACTAAAAGACAATTAAAATCAGTTGCTTCAAATTCTATCTTGTGAAATGTGCTATATAAATAACATTTATCATATCAGTCTTACAGTATGTATGTGTTTATACTATAAATAGTATATATAAAGAAAGAGTAATTGTAAGAGGCTGTAAAATTAATAAGTATGGAAGCTATATGCAGATTATACAGGAAAGTTAGGATATGGATTTTATATACATATGATAAATAAGCGGATAAATAAATGGATAAATAAATTATGACAAATAATAGATAATAGGTCCTTAGTAAGTATTTCAAACATGAACATGTGTGGGTGTATTGTTTATGTCAGCTATTTTACGACAAATTTTTGAAAAGACCCGCCCTCTCCATTGGGTTGTTGATGCACGACCCCATTTCTCCTTGTTTTACTAGTGATTTGAGATGGATTTCTCTAAATAGCATACCAAACTTTACCTGTCGAGTACAAACACTTTGCAACTGAGGCATTAGTGGGAAGCCAACTTGTGCTTTCAGTGTACGCCATCAAGTGAAAGAATCTCCCCAAAACACTCTGGTCTTGTTTCTCTTTTCTGAGGCCTTTCTTCTCATACACTTTGTAGACTCTTTTCTTTTACGACCCCTGGCTATTTTCAAATAACCTCGGTAAAAAAGGTGAGCTTCAGGCCCCGTATACACACCGCCGAACCCTGGCCTAAACGCACAAATTTTTCACCAAACCAGCCTTTCATCCACACGAAGCCGGCGTTTCGGAAGTCTGTAAACGATCTTTTTTTTATTCAGCCTTCAGAGTGGGAAGATTCTGATACGCTGTTTTCGCGTTTCCATCTTTAAGCTCTAACCGCATTTTTTTTTTACACGCATGCGTCATAGCGTCGCCTCTAAACACGCAATATCTCCAGGAAGAACAGAGCAATATCGACGACATAGTTCAGCACCTGAATTTGACTTAACCACGAAAATGGACCCGCAGGGCAACCATGTATAAATATTAGTGCGCATGCCCAACATTTCGTTGCTTATTTTTGCTTTGGCACCACAGCGCCACTTACAGGCCTGGCATACATTTTGCAGCGTTTTCATGCATTCGTGTGGACGATCACATTTATTTTACGTCTCCGTCTTTAAGACAAACGTTTTGGAAAATATTATCGTTTCGTGTTCGTTTTGACTTCGTGTGGACGGGGCCTCAATGACTGACTGAAACTGACAATTAGTAGGACCACTTACAGTATTTAGATGATTCACCCGGAAAAATTACATCCTCCACTATACCCTTAAGTTTAGAAGTATGGTCTGTGTATGAGTGGGAGATTGCATGCAATCAAGGTCCAGGTGCCTCCCATTCGCAGTGTCCAGTATTTCTCATCAGTCATTATTGGTCTTCCACTTGATCTCGGCATATGTTGGTGTAAGTGTGAGCTGTTGTAACCTCCAGATGTGAAGGTGAGAGTTTTAAGCCTGTTTATGCTTATTTTAATGCAAAAAGTGAATTGTTTTATAGTTGTTCTGTTGTGTTACTGAATTTGGCTAATGCAGACAGCAAAGCAGGGGCTGAAATCACCGGTTCAAAGACTGAAGACATATAGGCTGGTTTTTAAATAATTTATTTAGAAGTATTTTAGGTATGTGGTAGAAACAGAGTGATTGTAAACTAAACACTGCAAGAACACCAAGGCAACCTTACAATTTAATGCTTACAATACAATAGATGAAATTTGCAAGATTTAGGAAATATATTCTATTTATTGAAAATACCAAAAAGGCAATATGTTAATGTTTCTTTAAAGATAGTATAAAGTGGATAGTATTAGAAATGCATAAGAGGCTCAGTAAGTGGACTAAAAAAAACAATATTCTACAGTTTTTTAGAAAACCAAAAATAAGTTTTCAGTTTGTGAAACCATCATTCTATTAGTGGGAAAAAGTGTACAGTAGCTTTCCCCCCAAAATTTTGCCTTTTCTCATGAACCCGGTATTCACTATCATCTCCTTTTGAAACCACTTTTAACTGACTGATACGCTATCTGATGGATAAAAATAGTAATCTGGGAACTTAAACTTTAGAGCAGTATTTTAGATATAGAATAGAAGGTGCAAACAAATGAGTCAAGCAAAGTTCTTTGTCTCTTTGAAGGCAAGATATCAAAATTAGTTGAAATGGTTACAAAGATTAAGAGTGCACAAACCCAGCTTTAAGAAAATTCACAATCAATCCATGTGGGTTTTACTTAACAGCATTAAATATCATCTTATACTTTCTATATTTCTTTATGTTTTCATTTAGAAAATTGGAGACTTTAATACGGTTTAATATAATGGTACAAAAATATGTTAGTGTTAAATCCATCTGTGTCATTTGAGGTTTGCTAATGTGGTGGAGAATACCTTTATAAGCTTAGGCATCTTCTGGGAGCAGCCTTGTTGCTCCAGGTGTTCAAAATTTAGATCTACATATCCAATTTACCCATACCTATCAAACCAAAAAGCATAAAATGATTAGAAAGAAACACAAGAAACATAAAGCAAAGAAATCCACATATAGTGTTATTTAAATCTCACGAATATAAGAATATGCTGTGGTTCAGCAGAACACTGGGAGCTTTTGTAAGACATTTAAAAAGATTAACCACTCTTTTTTGAAAAGATGAAAAGAACACATAAAACAGAAAACCTGATGTATTTAACATTTTGAAAAGAAAGTCTTCCCTTTGAAGATGCTTTAAAATACAACTCGACAGCAAAATTAATGTTTTTAAAAAAAACATTTAAAATTCCTGCACTCTTGCATAATTCACATAACTTATGTTCATTTTGATTTCTTCCACCTGTCACAGAAATCTCAAGTAAAGTACAGGATTGTTAGTCTTATTGTGTTTAGGTCTTCTGCCCCCCCATCAAAAACTCAGATTTTAAATGAATGCATTCAGAACACACATACCCAATCCACAGCTCCCTTCTACAGTACAGCCTCATTTAAGAAACTATTTATTTTCCAAAATGTATACAAAGCTTTCAGATTATCATCGTCTTTCTTTTCTGTCGCAATATGACCCTCGCCTTAACCCGGTGATAACGAGTATAGGAAGCCAGAAACTACGACTTATTGTTCCCTGTCCACCAAACTGATTCAGTGAGATTCTGCTTTTTGTTGGGGATTCTATCTTGTTGGTTAAATTTTGCAATCCATTCATGTTTTTCACATGGGGCCTCTCAGATGATCGTTTACCCTCAGGATGCTTGGACTGTGTTCAGGCAGATAATCAACCAGAGAATTTTAAAGTGAACGTGTTTCTGCTGAAGCAGAACCACAAAGCGCTGTCTGGTCTGTAAAGAGGATCCTGTAAGCTGAATCTGAGTTTCCAGTCACAAATTTACTGAATGGGAGCAGCGCTGCTCCTCTGGGGAAATAGCTATAAACTAGAAGTTAGCTGCAGGAGGAAGATGTGCTCATTTATGTAGCTGAACCTTTTTAAAATGACTTGTAAGTTGATTTTGACTGGTTCTTATGACACATTGGTACATTTAATCAATGAATGTAATATGTACTATTTCATCTTTTGTGTTGTCCCTTCTACTCTTAAAATATTTTTTTTTACACTTAATGATCAATAAAAGGCCTTACCAGCCGTACTGGTTCTACAGGTCATTAGACATGCAAGCAAATAGCTTTTGATATCAGCGTATTTGCATGGTGGGTTGTTGGTAGTCCCTTCTAGTTTAACTTTTAACATTGACATATGCTTCAGGATTATTTAGGGTGACCAGATTTGGGTTTCTGAAAAGAAGGATCCTTTTTTTTTTTATGGGGGGCCCGGCCATCAGCTCTGGGGTCCAAGTCCGGAGCCAGCCGAGGATGAAACAACCTAACCCGACCCGGTGACAGTATGCATCCCCCCTCCTGCCCAAAAATATACAAAGGCTTGAAATTGAATAAAAATGAGTGTGCCTCATCAGGCTAATTAGGTAAAACAATTTCACAAATAATTTGAGTCACTAGGTCATACGACCTGGAAGCTATTGAACAAAAGTCCCAACTTTTGTCTTTAAACATATCTTATTAATGGAAAATAGATTAAAATTGCATAAAAGCAAGTGTTACATGTGTTATTTATTGGCATGATTTTATATTAGTTTCATCTTAGCTGGTCATAAGATAAGGAATTTATTGATTTGTGTTTCTCAAGAGTGCTTGGTTCAAAGATTTGTTGACGGTCCCTAACTGCATCCCCGCGTGTGGGAGGAGGGAGCAGCTGAAAGACGCTGGCTGACATTGGAGTCCCTCAGTCGGATCAACCGTTTGCTAGATCCCGCTGACTTCGTGGAGCTTGAATATCCAATATCCAACTTCACAGCGGTGCTCACGGCTCGGTCTGCTGCACTGTAGCTGACCAAAATCCCGGACGATTTTGAAATCCCCCTCCCCCCGGACATTTTTTTAGGTATGAAAAGTAGGACATGTCCGGAAAAAACAGGACGTCTGGTCACCCCAGGATTAGTGGCGGGGGAGTAACGGCATAATGGTGGTAGCCTAATGGTTAGGGCATAGAGCATGGAATCCTGAGGTTCCTGAAGTTCAAGCCCCACTCCTACTGACTGCCACTCTGGTTCTCTAAGCAAAAGACCCCTAACCCCACACTGCTCCCTGAGTGTCGCACAATGGCAGCCCAAAGCTCCCCAAGGGGATCGGTGAAATGCAGAGAGTTAATTTCCTTGCTCTGTACTTGTGACAGTATAATGACAATAAAAGCTGGAAAAAGAAAGAAAAGTCACAGGATTTTTTTCTCATTTGGCCAGAGGAATCATCCATCAGAGGTGACCCTATTCTAACCTACATTAAAGAGCACACATATACCGCATAAAAAAAAAAAAACTCTCCATCAGAAGGA